TTCTCAAATAACCTTTACTACTAATTTGTTATATATTAGTTATTTACTATTAATTACATTATTTGATCGTAGAAAATTTCTGAGAATGCGATAAATATTCAAAATAACAGACTACTGCTTCAATTTGAAGTAGATTAAGTGTAATATCCTTATAAATCTCTCTATTAATATTTAATTACCATTTTCCACTTGAGCACACAATTCGAACTCGCTTTATAATTAACTATAAATATTTACATTGGGACATACTATTTTCTATAAATATTTTCGTAATAAACTTTCCCTGCTGTGCTCATAGATTTACTTTATACTAAACTATTTATTAGGTTGATTCTGTTACCATTTATTTGTGGCATATGCTAGATATTACCTTACGGTATGCGGACATGCTCTCTATACAGACTCGCAATTTCTGGAATTTGTGTTAAATAATTATTTTAATTGATGTCAACTGACAAATTATTAGCTAAGAATTGTTCTAAGAGAAAAAATGAACTCTTATTAAAAATTTGGTATTACAATATTAAGTTAGCTCATCTCATTGCGATTTTTTTGAATTTTACAAAATATTTATCCTTCCTCTACATGTCAAATTAATGTTCACGGCTTTCTGATATCTTCGCGCGCACTTCTCGGTTAAATCTCGTTTGAAATGTGCCCCATGCGTCTGGTTTCTTGATTACGCCTAATTTATGTAAATTTTATTGCCCCGAATACCGCAATACATACCAATCTCATATTCTAATGAAAATGTCACCCGCAATTCCATTAGTGTAATGCCAGTTTGCGGAATAATAATTCAAATTTATGCACGTCTGCAAAACTTCTCTATTCTATACCACGTGTGGGTATCTATTCGCGACTACCGAATGTTCAACAAGAATTATTGAATGCAAGAAACTCTATTTTTCCCTATTCTAATTTCCCAATAAGAATGTTTTCCAAATTCTAATTAATGTTTCAAATACGTTTAACATTCTTTAAGTGTCTTTTATTAGGACTCTGAAATCATCGAACCGAATTCTGTACTTCGCACTTCCCTATATCTGAAATAATATAACGATTCCCCAAATCGCGCGACCTTCCGATGGTAATCGTAAGCTGATGTGTCTCGGTCTGTTGCTAGCGATCAAAAGACGCCTAACTCGTCTTTCTATCCCTCACTACGCCTCGTCCAAACATATTCTTTATATATGGCAAGGAGCTTTATTTCTCTTTTCTGGCATGTCACTAAACTCGAGTCTTCCATCGGGAGAGATGGCTCAGGGCATCAACTGCAGTCACTGCACTCCCTCTGGGCGGGAGTTCCTAGGTTCGAGTTCCGACGGTGACAGGATTTTCGGCAATTCGACACTAGCATGTCAGCTAGGTTGAAACCATTACTTGCCTGGAGGAGAATTGTAGCGGCCGGCTGCTCTGATCGGTAGTTTCCCGTGATTTCACCAATCGGGCGAATGCCGGAGCAGTACCCTAACAAACGGGCTGTTAACCGCGCGCCATCTTTCCTACCTCTTTCTTGCACTATCGTCACCTCTTACACACACCTAACATGCATTACACTACCACACATGCCGTGAGACCGGTAGGGTGCTTAGGGCTTGTCCCGGCTGGGGCGATACCTCGCTGGTAAGAGATACGTGGGTGGGAAAACCCCGATGAGCGACGTTAGGTCGTTGCCGGATCTCGCCATTCAGCGCAAAGATGACCGCTACCCCCGATGGGAAACATGCACTACACGTGGGATATACACGTATCATCTCCTAGTGGTTGACGAATCACTAACAATGAATCAATCTATCTATTCCCCAGGCTTGCTTATTTACTGGTCGCCCTGATAACCTGTATTCTTTGTCTTAGCCCTCGTTCTGTATGTCTAAATCACTCGTATTGACATAATATTCACTGAATATTACGATACCGTCTATATTAATAAACATGGGGGGGGGGCTTTTTGGCTTATCACACAAGGAATCCCCTCATCTCGATCTGGTTTTTGTCCAGTCTCCCGGATCCATTGAACAAATGTTCCATGGCTGCTTGTTTTGCTTCTGTAGCTTCACTATGCGCTCGTTTTGATGAACTTTCCTTTTGCTTGTAATGGCAGGAATAGAGGTAAGGGCGAGTTACTATTTTGGTAGCAATCAAAAAGAATCATGCTTGCAATTCGTTTACCGATGCAAATAAGTTTTCTATAACTCGGAAACAAAATGTATTTTTTTCAAATTCTGCTAATATCGCGATTTATTAAATTTATTTTTATTTATTTATTTTAAAATTTTACTCATCTTTCAACTATTTATAATTCTAATGACGGGAAGGAATTCTCAAACTCAAAAAAAAGTGCGCAGATGATTTTCTCCCCCATACGTCACATACAGTTTTTACTGATTTTTGACTAAATAAAACTAAAACATCTCAATAAATCTGAGAACATCACACAAAGAATATTAATTTTCTGAAGTTTTTGTCTTTCGTGGTTTTCTATGAGACCGGTTCAGAAGACAATAGTTACGAAACTGAATACATGGTCTTATGCTACTAAACTTTAATTTGATATGCAACATTGATTACCTTCCTTACTTTTTCTGTGAATGTCTTTTACTTATCTCTGTTGAAAGAGACAAAACATAAAAAAGAAACGGAATTTCTGTCTTCTTTAGAGGTATTACGAGATCTGGCCTGCCGCGTTTCCTAGGTTTTAGCCATTCATTTGAATTTTTCTTAAATTAAATATGAAAATTACATCGAATATAAGTTATTGTATGTTCAGAGAAAGTCTATTTATGGTCGACAGCCCTGCTGCTTGCATCGTTTTGATATTTTAAATCATTCTTAAAAATTTTCTTGACCTCCCTTTGCCTCTACGTTATTCTTCGTACAATTTTGGGTTACAAACAACCTATGTGTGTAAAAATATAATATGTTCGCTCATGGAATCAATTGTTAAAATCAATAACATTACTTGGGCGCTCAGAAGGAAAGGGAAAGAAAAATGAAACTAACAAAATTGAAATGCCGCGACACGTGAGACAACAGTTCCGCTATCACGAGAAGCGTCATCTCGTTATCCGCAAGCGCACGAAACGATAGAGAAACCGCTGCGGGGGTGGGGGGGTCGTCTGCGGCCGGGTCCCAGAAGCACCGAGGCCCAAACCATCAAGTGGGCGTCGTCCAGCGTCGGTCGGGCGAGCTCCATCTCACCACTTTGCTCCTGTTCTTGCTCACCCACCACGCTTCCATTCTCCGCCTCCCGCGCCTCCTACGCGGTCCGCCAAATCACGCCCCGTCTCGTCTCGTCTCGTCCCGTCTCGCTCGGGGAAACTGTGATGCGGAACTTGGGCGCTAATTTATGGCCGCAGAGGGTAGTTAGGGCCGCTTTATTGCTCGCCGGATGTATTATGCCCTCGACGTTAACGTCGTGTACCCGTCGAGCTTGTATTAAGACGCGGGAGAGGCTGGGGCGACGGAGACGGCGAGGCTGGGAAGACCGCTGGAGGCATCGCCAGGGCGAAAGCGATGGCAGCGGATGATGTGGGGCGCAGAGGAGCCCCAACGCTGCGGTACTTCAACCGGGGTACCGTTTCCTCCCAAGCGTGTTTGGACGTAAGGTTGTGGGTTCGCGTGCCAATGGTGGAGGATTTTTACAATAGGTGTATAGCTGTGTCACTCGTAGAGATGACTCAGGGCATCAACTGATGTTACTGCATTCCCTCTGACCGGGAAGTCTTGTGTGTTATTCCGCCCATTTTCATACTTAGCGATAACGACTGACTTCTCTTACTCATTGGATCATTACTTACGATACCATTGAAGTCACAGTAAAAACAAGATTTCAATGAAAAGGCCGCCCGCCAGTAAATATGTGCTATTTTACATGTTGATTACGGAATAGTAACATTTTTTAAATTCTGGGGTCTGCAAAAATTTTTGTATCGTCTATCCTGCTGAATATACCACGATTTTGCTTACTCATAAAGGTTGTTATTATTAAATATGTAATTTATTGCGGTGTTGGAAGAAAGTATTTAATTTTATTTGTCATTATTTAGCAGTGAGCGCGATACTTTCTGGACAACCCTTTTGTGTGGTTTTGTTCAGCATCATTTTTGCCACTGCAGGTTACTCGTTTTCACATATTCTTTAAATAACTCATTTATTTCAGATATGACGAAATTTTTGGTTCTGAGGAAGCGCTGGGTGATAGGCAGTGAACGGTGGGAGTGTGAAGAATTTGAGGCATTTGGGAAATATTGGGGTAATGAGAAGTGGGCTGTGGAGATACACACCGCATGAAATATATTTCATGCGGTACTGGGACCGAACCAGTTCGACCTTAAATGAATGTCAGAGAAGCAGCTTACATTTCAATAGCAACAAGGTTTCACAGTCAGCAGTTAGTGGTTCAACTTTGCTGCTCACCTGACTCCGAACAAATAGCCAGTATTTCAACTTCAAACCCTAGAGGTACTGCTGGACCATTGAGGTTCATTTTCTAAACGTTTGCTTGCAATGAACCCCAACAAATACTCAGATTTTAAAACTAATAAGGATTATAGTATAACTATATTTCCGAATGTTTTCTTCCCCTAAAATAAGTAACTCCTCTGATGAGATACGAGTTGACTCAGCGCAATGAGAGTCACACGATTGAAAGAACGCCAAACTTTTTAATCCTTTTTCCCGACGTCCACATTTCAGACACATACTTGGCGTTGAATACTCAGAGAATAGAACGACACCAGTTATCCATTCACGCGACGTGCCCGATTGACGAGACTTTTTTCGCAACCGGCGCCTCCGCAACAGAGAATTCCATCCGGGGGAGAGCCGGGGATCCCCCTTCGCGTGAATGCATCGGCGCAAGGCACCGCCGGGCGCGCCGCCTCTGTGGAGGTCTTCACGCCGGGCCTGCGAGATTCTCGGAGCTCTCTGAATGAAGGCGGCGCGTCTGCAGCTGAATAGGCGGCGGCGGCGGCGAGGCGTGGGCAGGCGGGCGCCAGATGAATGACTCTGCGCTCGGAATCCCACCGGCGCAGAGGCTTTGGCCGCCTGAGCCTTCTCAATGGAAGATGGAGGATGCGCCCGTTCGCACGTGCCCGCGGGTGGGTCAGTGGATTGGATTGGATTGGATTGGATTGTGAGGAGGGGAGTTATTTGTTTAACAGTCGCAAACGTATTGCGAAGTCTTCCGCGACTGGAGTTTGCGTGATCTACGGCAGGGTTGTCGAACTGGAGACCGCGTCTGCCATTTATTGTGACACGCGAAATATTATTAGTCAAAGGTGAAAGTCCTGTTCAACCATATCGGGCTAGAACATTGTGTCTCTAGTACACGCGCCCTGCTGGGGTCAGCACCCCCTTTAATGTAACTAGTTGTGACACTTTTTCCCGTATTAAATTCCTAATTCCTTAGGTCTCGGTTAGCTATTCGAACTTGCCAAACATTCTTTCCTGCTGCCATCTATCGCCGTCAAAAGTATGCCTATTTTTTGACATTTTCTTAATTTTTCGGTTTCCTAATTGTAGAGTGGAAATATCATTTTAAGATTATTAAAGAACAGTAAAACCTCGTCATGAATGGGAATATTCTTTGAAAAATTTGGAGCCGTTTTTAAGGAAATCTTGTTTTTGTATTTTTAATTGCACATATTACACCCAATATTTTATATAAAAATACAAACATTTTCATAAAAATGTACTTGATCTTAATGAAACAACTCACTGTGGAGAACATATTTTATTTGGAGGCAAAATATCTATCTTCAATTCTGTACTTGTAGGACGACGATTTTGAAATTTTCGAAAATTGTGTTAAACCTGAAAATCGGTCTTATGCCATCTTTACACATGTATTTTGCTTTATTCTTATAAGAAATTTAAAGAAAAAATATGGAGTCAATTTTTAAGCAAAATCTGAAAATGTGGAGGACTTCATGCACAGTACTCCCGAATTTTAAAGATTTTGTTCAAAATCTCAAAGATTCGACTCGATCCAAATTCACGAGAGTTTATTCAATTTGGGAAAAAACATAAGCATTGTTTAGGCACTAGTAGTGTTCATAGACACCAGACGGACGGACCGACAGACAGATGGACGTTAAAAAACACGTTTTTTGACATCAGGGACGACCACAAAACGTGTATCTCGAAATCTAGAAATAGATTCTCGGCAGCATTACATAACTTTCCCTAGAGTTATGTATATTACTCCTTGTAATACGTACGTATACGGGAAAGTAAAAATTGGTGAAGTTTAAATTTACAGAATTTTTCTCGTAAATTCAGAAATTAAAAATCATCCTAACTTTATTCATCGCGTTATGCAAAATACGGCTAGGTATCAAGGATGCCCATCTTCCCGTCCGTTTCTGTGCAGCCGATATCAACAGTATGGGATCACGTGGAGATCGCCCGAGTGAAGAAAATGCTCGGTCCGCAGCGATATTAAAGGTTTCAGTTGTGACCCTTGAAGGCTTGCAAATTGCTCCCCTGATCTAGGGTATCCGGGATAAAGGAGCATGGGAGTCACTCGAAAGGAAGAGATTAAAGTCACGTCTCTATGCAATGTATAAAGCGTCCACAGACCTTCGAGCGTGGAAAGAAATTCAAAGTCGATTAGGGAAACCTACATATTTTGGCAGAGCGGATCACATGCACAAAATTCAGACTAGAATTCAGAAAACGAACTTTGGGAAATATTCATTCGCGAATTGAATTATTTGAGACTGGAACGGTTTGCCTGTGACAATCTTCGATCCCTTTCCTCAAAACCTGAGCAAATTGAAAAATAAATTATTTTAATAAATGTTGAATATGTATTATAAATATCTTTAATATTATTTAGTGTAAATAACTATGTCTACTATGTAATTAAGTATTATTAATATTATAATTAGTTGAAATGTATCTTCAATTATTTGACTATATTAGTAAATATAGAAAAACATTTTACCTATTCAATTACCCGTGTTTATTTGCCTTACTCGCTCGATATATGTGTAATGTTTCGCCGGTCTCAAATATATGTCAAAGTTAGTATTTCAATTTGCCTCACAAAATGGTGTTGGTGACACTACAATGTTAATCATACTGTTAAACAAACATATCAAAACCATTTAGAAAAGTGCATTTCATAGCAAGTGTTCCAGGAATAATATTTCACTACGTGGGTACTCAATTACACCAGAATATTTGATTTTCAATTGTCCTTTTTCCACCAAGGAACCAGCACATTTCATTATTCTCATTATCTGTTACGTTTACACTCGAATGAACGCATCGTATTAAAGTTCCTGGAAGTGTTCATTGAATTGATATTTCGGAAAACGCCAAATGAATGTAAACGAAATAACCTCCTTTTTCAGATATTTCCGACGCCTCCTGTTCCTCAGTGCCTCCTTCGTTTCTTCATCTACTTCCATCGTCTCCCTCTCTTCCGTTGTGCCTCCCCACCAATCTCCTCCATCACTCCCCACTACCCCTTCCACTCTTTCTCCTCCTGCTCCGATTTCCCGCCGAAAGTCCCCAGTCCGAGCAACGTCCTCTCATTTCAGTATTAATTAAGATTTGCGCGCGATCTCTCTACGTCTCTACCCACCCGAATACGGGCGACCCTGGCAAACAAAAGACAGCGTTATTCTTTGATCTCCCTCCGTGCCTCTTCCCCGCCCTTTCTCCTGTCCCCACCCCATCCTCATTATCTCGCAACATCGCGCCCCCGCTCCAGTGTATCATCCACGGAATGGTCGGCCGCCCGCCTGCGCTGAATTGCGAGGCGGTATGAGTGAGAGGACGGGCGGGGCGGCGGGGGGGGGCTGAACGGGGAAGGACGGGCAGGCAGGCGGGCCGGACCATGAGGGAGTCGGTCGGGGCGGGTGTCTTAAGGTCTTAATCGAGAAATTAGTCTGGGCCAGCGCGGGGGATGCAATTAAACTTTTAATGATCTTTATGCCGGGCGATAAAGGGCGGTGGCACTACTGGGTGACGGTGTTGCATCGGCCGTTTGGCAATTAGTGTGAGTGGCGCGTATTGCAGGGCTGTGCCTTGCCACGCCCCGCAGTTCCGGCTCACCAGCGGCGAGGGGGCGGCGGGGGTGGCGACGTTAAAATCTTGTAATGCGAAGGATTTCCAGCACCCTGCATATTCACCGGCTGTAAACGCAGCAGCAGTAAGCGCAACCCTTCTGCAGTCCGCCGTCTTCTGCGAGAGCCGCTGCTATATCGGGTCTGTTGAATTTCGCCTTAGTGTAGTCGTAAACTGCGCGAATAGATGTTTTGTTGGGTTTATAAGATTTCAAAAATGGATTATGCGAACGTTCGTTGTTTCTACGCCTCTTCTTGAAATGATTCACGTTTAGTGATGTAATTTTAGAGCAGCAGTGATTTGAATGGTTATTTTTATAATATTACGTCTTGAATAATTTCTTAAAGCAGTATACATCTTAAAACAATATTTCTTAAAACAGTAAATTGATATGATAACAGTTATGATTTCGCTTTCACAGACCTCTGAAGCATACGAGATTAATATATCTGTATATGTACGTATTGCAAGTTTTTTAACAAAATCAAGTACTCACACGCAGGTTTAGATTTTTCTGTCTGTAACCATAATTTTGTTTCAGTGAAATCATATTGTAATTGGTATGAGAAAAATTCTCTTAATGTCTCTGTAGTTTATGTTCATTTTATTTTACTTTCTGACATTAACATTTTAATTTCAGAATAATATCACTGTTTATAACCTTATTTCAAACTCAAAACACTAAAAAAATAATTAATGAATTAAATTTTAACAATTTTTCATTACTCAAAAACAAGCTACTTAGCGCATGAAATATTGAAGAAAAGAGTCAGCAAGTTAAATTCTGTGTAATAAAAATTGAGTTTTTTTTCATCAACAATCCTCAAAGCTGAGAAGGAATGGCCATATCACGATAACAGATTGTGACCACGTCACAATCTGGGAAGCTATTAACTTGTTAGTTTATGGCTGTTAATTATATATATCGCCGTAAATTAGTCTCCTGCACCATTCAGTATGTGGGGTCTATTCGAGGTTCACCCGTGTGTTACCAACCTTATTGATATATTAACTTCATTAATACAGAAGCATACATTTTTTATTTGAATGTTTGATGTGCATTGTCGAGCAGCACATTAGAGCGCGGTATTCATTGGACAGTGCGGGGTTTCGTATCAATAACTGTTATGTGCGTATTGACAGTTGGCAAATAGGGTCGACCAGGCGGCGGTTTATTACGCTTTGTTCGCTACTCGATACTTAATGTAATGGAATACAGCCATTCTCGGGTCATGCTTTTTACCTGGACTTCGGAAGTGAGCGCGCGTTTTCGTTTGTTTACACCAAGAGAGAGACGCAGGAACAATCGCCGCTGTTCAAACAGAGGTATGGAGTTTGGAGTTGCATCGCATGCGGATGTGGTTGTGAGAGGCAGACATCATATTGAAGCATTTCCCTTCAGGGGCTAAAAACATTTACCGGACGGGAAAAGTGGTAATATTACTTTTCGGTGGACTGACAGCTCTCACTCAGATGAAAATCATTTGTCGAATTTCGATGCGGATGTTGGCATTGTGCAAATGCTCTGTTCATCCTTAATTACTAGAATTATTAAATGAAAATGTGGTGATAACTATAATTGCTAGTGTGTAAAATAAAATGTATGTGACAGACATTCAAGCGCTTTGCCACATGTTGATATAAAATAATTTTCGGAAACAACCAACTGTTTCTCGTGGTAATAGAAAAAAAGAGGATTCTAGAATTAGAGTAATTTAATCGAAAATGCTTTACCAAAATAAATGAAATTCAGATGAAATATGTCTGTCATTTAATTTGTAAAATTAACAGAGTAAAGTTGTGTGCCAATTTGTAAAAACAAAAACATGCAAAGTATGCATGATAATTTGTATTTTGCATTCTCATTTTCTCGATGAAAGATAAAATGTAGTACGATATTAAATGCTCTCTGACCAAAAATTATGAATTGAGAATTTGATGTATTCAAGTATCTTCGAATCATCAACCAGCTGAAATGGGTCAGGCCATCTGATTTCACTGCAGGGCCTCTGATCGGGAAGTCCTAGCGTTCAAGACCAGATGGCGGCAGAATTT